AGGAGCTTATTTAGCACATAGATACACGTACCTGTAGGAGCCTTGTGGCCTTGGGCTGCTCGAGGCAAAGTCAGCAGTTTGAACCTGCTAGCTGCTCCATGAGAGAAAGCAAGGCTTTCTACGAACATAGACATACGTGTAAACATAAACTACATGTTTATGCACATAGACACGTAGATGTATACATGCATGTACCCGTGAACATAAACATATACAACACACACATGCACACAAACATAGACACACATAAACTTACACATATGTGTACACGTACACATAGGCATAAACACACATAGGCATAAACAAGCACAGTCTCAGAAACCGGAAGAGGGCAGTCCTACTCTGCCTACAGGGTGGCTGTGAAGCAGAATTGAGTTGATGGCAGTGAGTTTGGTTTGGGGTTTGATAGACACCTACGATGTCCCATGCTCGGTGCTTGTACCCGTGATGCAAGGAACAATAAGATGAACGAAGGTGTGTCTTACCTTCAGTTGCTTGTCGTCTGTGCAGATGCCTGACATGTGCTGGTGCTGTGTCAACCCACATCTTGGGTACACATCCGGAGAGAGCACATGCATATGTGTGACCTTGAAAGCAAGGTTAAGGCTCAACACCTGCACTGTGGTCAGTAGAGATTGGGACCCATTGGGCCTGCTTCCTTCATTTCCCATTTCCTGGGCCATCATTTCACACCAGGCAGTGCTTTGGATAGGCGATGGCTTAATAGAAACACAAAGGGTGGGGTTTCAAACCGCCATCCTAGCAATCTGGTGGATTCCCACAAGCGAATTTTAAAATGAAACAGACGAGATAAGGAGAGCGTGCCCAGCACACAGCAAGTGCAGTGCAACTTCCCGGGATTGTCTTAGTTACAGTCCTAGGCGGCCGTGTGTGCGTTATTTGGACACACGTGATCGCTTCCACTACAGGCCGCAATCAAACTGCCGTAGGGAGGCAAGGAGGATCGCCAAAGGTGACGTGACGGAGAAGCTGCAGGGACAGGCACAGGCAGGGCTGGGTGGAGGGGAGAGGTTCTCAGTAGAAGGAGCTGAGAGCGAAACCACATAGGTGGGCAGCCCCAGGGCAGCCGCATCTGGTGCCCACTATGGTTTCCTGGGGATCGGTGTGGAGCGCCCCAGGGCTGTGCAGGGCAGACCGAGGCCCCAGGGAACCAAGCCTATGAACCCATAGGGGTTTCCCCCTTCCTGCAGCTGATTGGAGAACCTGGCCTGCCTGGTGTGGGGCCACCACAGGCCTCTAACAGGAGAGTCTGAAATCAAGCTGCATGCCAAGATTGAGTTTCGCCCCTGGTGCTAGGTAACCGTAAACCCAAACATTGCGGACAAGTTTATTCTGACTTGTGGCAATCCCACGTGACAGAGTTGAGGTGCTCAATGAGGTTTTCTTGGTTCCAAACTTTATGGAAGCAGGTCGCCAGGCCTTCCCTCTGTGGCACCACAGGGGCAGGGGATTCCAACTGCCAGCCTTTCAGTTAGCGACTGAGAACAAACCATTGTTCCACCAAAACACTGCCATCGAGATGGTCCCGACTCTCAGCAGCCCTCTAGGACAGACTAGAACTGACCCCTGTGAGTTTCTGCGACTGTAACTCTTTATGGGAGTTGAAAGCCCCATGTTTCTCCTGAGGAGCGGTTGATGGTTTCAAACTGCTGGACTTGCGGATCACAGCCCAACACATAGCCCCTACACCACCAGGGAGCTGTAGGCCACCACCGGCATCACGTAAAGGGTGATGAGGGGCCAGCCCCTCCTGATGTAGCGCTGGAGCAGAACAGAATGCAAGTCCTGTGCAGGGAGACAGACTGAAGCTCAAGAGAGACCAGGAGGGCTCAGTGGAGCATGCTCAGTTCCTCTCCCCGGATTCTGGGCGGAGTCATCCCCAGGCCCTGGGAGGAAAGTGTGAGGGGTCTGGGTTACACTAGAGAAGTCCCTCTCTCTGGAAACATAAGGAGTGAGGACTGTGAGTTGCCCCTGTGTGCATCCACCAAAGACACAGCCCACATGGTGCTTAACTTGCCTGGTGTTAAGAGACTTTCTAGAACAGCGAGCAATCACTCAGGACATTCCTGTGTCCTGTCTAATTCTTTTTGCAAACTTGTTCTTGAGAAAATGAATAGTCTAGTTTATTTCTTCCCAGAGTGCACCTGGAACAGGACACAGTATTTTTTTTTTGGAGGGGGTGGTGGTGTTGGTAGCAGGCATCTGCAGCCACAGAGCAGGCCTACAATAAATTGCCTATTCTACTCTACACTTTCAGTCCTGGCAAAGGGAGGTGCTGGGCTATCAAAGATTTGTGACTCCCCAGCTGCTGAGATGGTGGGGCCAGAGAGGTGTCCCTGAGTATCTCAAGTGAGCGTAGGGCCCCAGGAAGCCTGGCGCTCCCCGCAATATTGCCGGCTCAGAGGCCGGCCTGCCTCCCAGGCTGTCCTGGTGCTTAGCACCGACTGACAGGCCCATAGCTGAGCCACCAAATGACAGAGCTGTAGCACTGGCAGCTCTTCCTCTGCCTCTTGTGAAGTCGTAATACCAGGATCTAGAGACTGACAGGATTTTACGGCGGCAGAGCTAGGACTTGACCTGTCTTGAAGATACAATCAATATAAACAAACAAACAAAAAGAAAACCCAAAACTAAACCCAGTGGTATCAAGGTGACTCAGGCCCATAGTGACCCTCTAGAGCGGTGGTCCTCAACCTGTGGATTTCGACCCCTTTGGGGGGGGTTGAACGACCCTTTCACAGGGGTCACCTGATTCATCACAGTAGCAAAATGACAGTGATGAAGTGGCAATGAAAATAATTTTATGGATGGGGTCCCCACCACATGAGGAACTGTATTAAAGAGTCGTAGCATTAGGAAAGTTGAGACCCACTGCTCTAGAGGTTCCAAGGCTGTGTATCTTTAGCGACCCCCGTGGTGTCTTTCTAGATGGTTTGAACCACCTACCTTGCTGTAAGCCCTCAAGCACTTACCCACTGCACGACTCGGCTCCTCAGAGATACAGCATAGAGAGGGGTTCAGAACAGGGCCTTTGTGGCCTGAAGGCTCTGTCTGTCTGGAGTCCAGGCACCCTCATTGCAGCTGTCCACTTGCAGCTTCACCCCTCTCCAGCTTCCCTGCCCCGTCAAAGTTGGATAGCGGGGGCTTCTAGGGCTGTTGGAGGGACGGAGTGAGAGGCTATGGTGATCGTACAGGACCAGCAGAAGGAAGCTGCTCATACATGACCCTTGTCACCGTCCCTTTCAACTGCACCCCACCTAGTGATCTGCCGCCACCACCGAGGTTTCCCCAATATGGCTCTGCCAACTCCCTTGAGGGGCCTCTCTGACCAGGTTCCCCTGAGCCCCGTGAATGCATTTTAGACGAAACGTTTGCAAACCTTGGAGCCCCGTGTGCTTACAGATAAATGACAGAAGAACTGGGGAAGTGCAGCTGACCAGGCTCAGCCACCCTCTCTGCCCACTTTGCTGCCAGCCTGAGAACCGGAAGAGTGGACCACCCGGATTCAGGCACAGGTGGTGCGGTTGGGGAGGGAGAAAGCCAGGCTAATCGAAGAAGCAAAACAAGAACCTTTGGATAAAAACGGAGTTTATTCCTTGGGGCATCAAGCTCTAATTTCAGCCAGTTCTTCCCACAAATGCGTCAATACAGGCTGGTCCAGGCTTGCAGCCATGACTTGATTGGACCCCACTATAATCACCAGCATCCTTTACAGAAGAGCAAAGAGTGTACAAAAGGATGCACAGATGGGTGCTCCCTTCCATCATCACCTCGTTGTTAGTGCAAATGTTCCGAAGTTGCAGTTCAGAGGACCACAGATCCAGGCTCAGGGGAGCTTCCAGCATCACTGCTCCAGACTGGGGAGGCCTGGGCGGTAACAGCATCTGTGGAGGAGCGGCCCCGAGGCGTCCAGGGAGAGCTTCGCATCATATGCATCCGGATCATCTGGAGGACAAAGTCAAACTCAGACTCCCGGGCTCTTCCTGGGGGTCTGTTTCAGGGAGTGCAAAGGGAGAATTTGCATTTCTGCCCAGTTCTGAGGGGATGCTGATGTCACTGGTTCGTGGTTGGTTGCCTTGATCTCAGTGAGCCTTTGCTTCTGGCTTGGTCCTCTAGCAAAACTTCCGTGTCTTCAAGGACAGGGACCTCCTTCCTTCCTTGAGCCACCCATTCCCCTGGGAGTAGAATAGAGACACGTCGGGCTGCTAACTGCAAGGTTGGCAGTTAAAAATATAAAATAAAATCACCAGCCACTCCATGGGAGAAAGACAATGCTTTGTACTCCTGTCGAGAGTTACAGCCTCAGAAACTCACAAGGGCAGCTCTGCCCTGTCCTATGAGTTGGAATCAACCTGATGGCTGTGAGTTTATTTTGGGGGGTTTTCCTTTTGAAAGAATTTTGGGGCACTGTTGGGTAAGTGTTGGACTGCTATCTGCAAGGTTGTCCGTTCAAACCCAGCAGCTGCTCTGCAGGAGCAAGATGAGGCCAACTGTTCCTATAAAGACTGACAGCCTCAGAAAGCCTACAGAGGTCACTAGGAGTCGGAATTAACTCAGAAGACAGTGGGTTTGGATCCATTAGAAAGTTCTGTCTCTTCTCGAATCAAGAACAAGGAACAAAGAGAGCAATTGAATAGCTTGGAGTAGATGTCTCTTCTCTGATTCCCCCAGCCCACAAGATAGGACCACTATTGATACTTTGACTCATGTGTTGAGTGTTTTGTTAGCCATCCTCTAGTCCCCTAGGCTGCCAGAGAGCTTTGCCTTTCGCCATGTTTTAGGGCTTCGATCTTCTCCTTTGTGTTGTGTAAGAAGGGTCTGGATAGTACATAGACTTTGGAAGAGGGAATCATCCTCCTCAAATCCTGGGTCCTCTAGGGTCTCAATGGAGTCTGATGGGTTTGGCTTCCTGGTCCATGCCCGATAGTTTACATAGGACACAGCTTTCTTTCTGCAAGGCTGACCATGTGGCACCTGCCTGGAGCAAGGATTGCTAAACTTTGTGCACATCTACAACATTTGGGAAGCTTAAAACAAAATACTGATTAAGGGCAGCCCTCTCAGACCAGTGAAATCAGGGACCTCAGAGTTGGGACCTGAGCTTTGAAATTTTGATTTGTAGTATGCTCCCCAAGGATTGAACTAGAGTTGGATCCCGGTCTAAGCTCTCCTCTTCCCCTTCCATTAGAACGAGGAGGAAGTTTGCTTTCCTCCAACCCTGGCAGGGGTGTGGATGCCTCCTTTTAGT